AAGGAGTGGTTGTAGAGAAACGGTCAGTAACAGAGAAACGGCGGGCAGTTGAAGGGTGAGCGAACGCGCTGTATGTTTGGGATAGCTATTTATCTAAATACAGAGGAAACAACAATGGATCTGTCGTGTGCGCTGTAGAGGCTAAGACCATGGGAAAATCGAGATGTGGGGGGTTCTCAGGGGAGGCCAGCAGCACCAAGACAAGAATCGCGCGGCGCGGTACTTAAACGTGGCCTCTAACAAGCGTTGGGAAAGAATTCGTGCGCTCTTGGCCTGGGTAAAGAAGGGGGTGGGGAGGCGACGAGAACGGCGGCGGGCCAGGTGTACTTCAGGGACCGCTTTCTTTTTGTGCATGGGAGGTCAAGAAAGGGGGTAGTGGTGAGTGCTGACCTGCCGTGGTAGTATACAAACACAGAAGGCGAGAGAAGAGGTGGACGGCCGTCTTCAAAGGATGAACGCTACTTTTGGCTATGTGCGCTGGGGGATTTCAACGCAGCGAACAGGTTAGCAAGCAAATTCGAGGTGGCGGGCATGATGTTTGTTCGTACTTGGCAGAAATCCGCCGCCCAGGCGCGGAGGTGGCCCTACATAGTTATGTTGACTGTTTCTACCTGTCGACGCCTTCTCTTCTTAATTTGGCTCTCCTCCTCGTGTTGATTTTAAATTAGGTAGAGAGACCGGTGATCTTGGGTGCATCACCATTACCGATTCAGAGCAATTCCTAAAAACAGTTATGAATTTCAGAGGGAGATGATAAATATAAACCTTTTTATGAATAACTCGCGCAAAAGAGCTGGCTAGAAAAAGTCAACAGACAATTCGCCCGCGAGTTTCAATCGTTGTGCAGATGAAAGCTCAAATGAGAGTAATAAAGAACCGACGCCAAACAGCTGAAGGGTTTTTAGGGGACCAAACTAAGGACCAATGTTCTTTGTCAGAGCCAATGTTCCTCCTCTTCCTGGTTTCTCTTGAGCTTCAACTTAAACACGCCGTTGAAAAACCCGAATGTGAAAAGAAGCACAAAGTCTATGTTACCACCTGCATGATGACCTCCTGGGTTTTCCTGCACAACATGATCAACGTCTGAGCCTAAACGGGGTGTGAGGTAAGGAGCCATGGCGGACTAAGGTGAGAAGAAGGTTACGGTTAGGTAAAAGGAGTGGGGAGGACGTGTAGAGGGTGAAGGGTGAGCAGAGGAGCGAGAGGGGTGGGCACAGGGAGGGTAATGGGGATGGTGGGAGGGAGGAAGGAGTAAGAGAAGAGTAGTATAGGACGAAGGATAGAATTGATGAGGAGTCACAAGAAGAGAAATGGATTTAGATTTAGCATATGAGATAGAGAGAATGAGAGATATGGCAGATGGGTGCGAAGATGACGGTAAGGAGTGCAAAGTTTTGAGAGGATGAGGCAGAGATAGGATTACGTATGAGACGTGGAGAAGGGAGTAGGATTAGATTGAGAGGGAGGCGGAGAAGCGTAATAGATTGAGTGGAAAGGGATAAGTGTATTTAGAATTGATAGGGAGAGGGAGAAGGATATAAGATAGATAGGGTAAGAGGGAGAAATGGTTAGTGTTGAGACAGAGTGGCTGATAGAAATGGGGCCGGAGAAATTGAAAGGAGGAGAGCGTGGGTGAAAAGATGAGGATTGGGAAGGGAGAAGTTATTGGTAAGGGAATGTAAATAATTTTACAGAGTAGGCAGAAGGATTAGATTGAGAGGAGAAGAGTGAGAAGGAGTGAAGTATAGATTTCGTAGAAGAGAGAGGGAGAAGGTAGAAGATTAAGATTGAGATGGGAGATGGAGATAGGAGAAGATTAGATTATGAGAGGGAGAGGGAAGGGTGTAAGAGGTATTCAGATTGACTGGAAGGAGAATGGAGAAGGTTATGATTGTGAGAGGTGTGGAGAGTAGGTAGGACATATGTGATAAGATTAGAGCGCGGTATCGGGAGCAAAAAGAAGGATATTATTGATCGCAAGGTGAGATGGGGATTAGGAGAGGAGATTATTGGGCCAGGCAGTGCAGGGAGTACATGTGTAGATATGGAATTAAGATGGAGAGGGAGAAGGGATGACATGGAGAAGTAATTAGTGATTGCTGTTAACGAAAGGAGCAAGAGCAGGTAGAGAGGAGAAAAGGATTAGTATTAGAGAGGAGAGTCGTGAGATATCGCATAGAGTGACTTAAGATTCTGAGAGGGCAAAGTAGAGGGAGATTCGGAAGATACGGGAGTTACCCATTATTGGGAGATAAATGAAACTAATTTTATCTCTGTAACATTTATTCCTTCTCGTGCACGACTGGTGCAGTATCTATCTAACCTCCCATCAGTTATTATTCCATTCGAGCTGAATCTCCAAGCCGCTTTCTCCCCTGAGATTTTTGTACGGGGTGGGATTCTATGGGAGTCATGACCGGTGGGTGCGCGGCGCCCGTAGGAAGAAACCAAAGGATTAGATTGGATGAGGTTTCGCATGGCGCAGGGCTCGCTGGCGTCTAGACGGGGACAAATGGGAGCGCGGAATTAAAGGGGTTTAGATTCTTTGTGGAGAGGGAAGGCTGAGCAACACCAAATGGCAGAACGGACGTGAGATTGAGAGGCATCGTAGGTGAGAGGCGAGCCACAGCGAGGGAAGGAAGGCACGCATTTACGAGAGTGGCAGCCACGGACTATGGGTTACTGAAGGAGTCAAGTAGGGGAGTTGTGAGAGCGCGAGTATGTCCGCGCACCGACGACGTAGACCTTCCTAAGGTGAGATATCGGGAGGAGAATTGAGCAGTGTTCAGCACGGCGTACGACGGAGGCAGACAGGAGAAGGAGGATGTAGATCTTGCAGTTAGGGGGAGAGAATTGAGTGGGAGCAGAAGTTGATGTTATGGTAGTATAGGAAACGGGGGATGTACAATGCTATGGAAACGTATTTGAGAGCGCGTGGACGATTGAGTGGCCTGCCCGGGGTGTAAGTTGACAGAATACGAAAATTATATGGTGTATGTAAATAAAATGTAGACTCTATTGCTACCGTACAGTCCTCCGTTTTATTGATTAGAAATGAGGAAAAAATAGCGCACTGAAGCATAATAAATGACCATCAACAAACCGCAACCAGAAGAGAAAACCAGTAGCCAAGATGAATCAATGTGCGTTTGAGTTATTTCTGATTAAATGAGCGAAGCAATCTACTGGCGATAGCGCGAGGTTATGGCATGGAAGTAGCACAACACGCGCTTCCCCAAGAGAACAGAACACCATATCACATGCAAAGTAACGAATGCAGACATCGCAGGAGTCAGCAAATCAATGGCAAGACACCGGAGGGTGGAACCCGAGCATTATTCGATAGAGCGCGAGACTGCGCGCGGCAGAGGGCACGACAGCCCGTCGAAGGGCAGGGAGTCATCTGTGGTGTAGGGGGGAGATTGATCCGGTGGTTATTCGGGGCGCTCGTGGCATGGCTACTACAGAGCCGGGCATCCTCGGCTGGACCGGCTTGTTTTAAGGACGTAAACATCCTTGGCCTCCTGTGCACAACGCAGCTCGTCGCTATGTCCATGGCGGGACAACGTGACGAACAACGACCTTACAAGGCTACCGCATCGGTAGAAGGTGTGGCGAAGAATTCGGAGTAACTCCAAGTTTTTCGTGTTGGTATTCTGTGTGTTGTTTAGAAGGGTTGTTTATTGTTGTTAACTGTTAGTGGCAAGGCATTGTTGTAATTACTGGTAGTGATAATTTGTGCATTTTGGTTGTTATTCTTCCATAGTCAGTGTCTGGGAAAACACCAGGTTGTTACGAAAGTGATGATAGAAATTGATGCTAAATGTGTAGATGATAAATCTAGTAATGAGTCACTGTAAACTCATCGCATCTACTAGTCACTGTGATAATGACAAAAACAACACGAAGAGCACCCGCAGAATTCCTTATTGTCCAAGTGTTCTTACAACCCGCGTCGCCCTCCCCCTGCAGAGTGCTTACCGAGGACCGCCGCCGCCAAACTGTGAAGCGAACACAAACCACCGTCCTCTACTACAACAAGAGCTGCATCTCCATCGAGCGAGTGAGGCTACTGCAGCAAATAGGCAACCTCAGCAGCTACAACAGGGTACGGACAGTAGGCTGCGAGAGGGAGCTGAATCAGCCGGGCGAGGATCAAGGAGGAGGCACGAAGGGGGAGTCCGTTGCCACAGGATCTACCGCGCAGCGAGGATATATGTGTCAAGTGAAGGAATCGCGTAGGCTGTTATCACTCTTGTCATGTCCATTCTCGCATTGACTGAGGGTTGCAATAGTGTCATTTGGGGTGATTTAGGTATTACTCAATCTCCTGAGTTTGCACTCGCTAGCAAACGATGTAGGGAGTGATTTTAGAGATATTTTGAGAAGGTAGAAGATCGAAGAAAGAGGGCAGGATAGTGAGCAAGAAGAGGAGGGAAGAGTGAGGAGATCTTACTTCGAGGAGTAGCGGAGAAATCGGAGAGAATATATTTAGGGACCTGTGATGTGGAATATATTCGACTGGATATGAAAGGAGAGAATTTCGACGAGAGGACGTTTGGACATGTAACGGCTCACTTCTGTGGGACAAGGTTAGATATAAGGAAGATAGTGTATAGCTGTATGAATTTGAGTGAGACTGACGAAGGTGACAGAGCAGGTGAGGAAGGGAGAGCGAGCCGGGAAAAGTAATGTTGCAATAGTTTCATTGGAGACAAATCATGAGTGGAAAGCACGGAGATTTGGAGAGAGCATATCAGAATATAAGAGGATGACTGAGATTGAAGAGGTCTGTGTATGACGTTTGAATTCTTACGGGTGTGGCATTTTTTTAGATGAGCGCGAAGAGCGGGAGAGCAGGAGAATGGCTGTGAAGCTGACAGTATGTCGTATGGTAGTGTATAAGTGCAGAAGAACGGTAGGACGGCGTAGATTTGGTGCCTACTTCTAAGGATGCCTAGTTAGAGTTTGTATATTGAGAGGGAGAGGGTGCAGAGGACATGGACCGTAGAACGAGAGCGAGCTCTGAATTGCGAGTGGAGTACTCTGAATGATTGAGCGCCCGCTTGCCCTCCCTATGCACTAGACAGGGGAGAACCGGGCGATGTGAGACGTAAGGGACGGGCTACCACGGGACGCAACATGAGGAGCGGCATGCAGGCGGAAAGCTGTGGGTCTAGCCTGGGCCAGCTGGGCGGTGATTATCGTGGCGCGTGTCTGGCCTGACAGTGACGGTCTCGGTGAAGAAGCTCCGGGAAGGTCGTCTACTTCACCGCCCTCTTCCCCTACGCCGTGTTGCTCATCCTCTTCATCAGGGGTAAGTCCTTCTGCCAGACGGTAAGAAGGGTCTGCAGATGTAGATAAACATATACACATATACATATGTGGATAAACGTGTACGCATACGATGTGGGTGGACGTGTACACATAGACAAATGTGGATAAACGTGTACGCATACGCATATGTGGGTGGACGTGTACACATCCACAAATGTGGATAAACGTGTACACATACACAAATGTGGATAAACGTGTACACATACACAAATGTGGATAAACGTGTACACATACACAAATGTGGATAAACGTGTACACATACACAAATGTGGATAAACGTTGTACACAAACACCACAACAAATGTGGAATAAACGTGTACACACAAATGGTGGATAAACGTAAACACATACACAACGTACACATACACAAATGTGGATAAACGTGGATACACACATACACAAATGTGGATAAACGTGTACACATACACAAATGTGGATAAACGTGTACACATACACAAATGTGGATAACGTGTACACACACACACAATGTGGATAAACGTACTACACCGATACACAAATGGATAAATACACATACACAAAAATGTGGATAAACGTGTACACATACACAAATGTGGATAAACGTGTACACATACACAAATGTGGATAAACGTCTACGCATACACAAATGTGGATAAACGTCTACACATACGCAAATGTGGATAAACGTCTACACATACACAAATGTGGATAAACGTGTACACATACACAAATGTGGATAAACGTGTACACATACACAAATGTGGATAAACGTGTACACATACACAAATGTGGAACGTCTACACATACCAAATGTGGATAAACTACACATACACAAATGTGGATAAACGTGTACACATACAAATGTGGACGTGACAAATGTGGATACACAAATGTGGATAAACGTGTACACATACACAAATGGGATAAACGTGAACGATAAATACACATACACAAATGTGGATAAACGTCTACACATACACAAATGTGGATAAACGTCTACACATCCACAAATGTGGATAAACGTGTACACATAGACATATTTGGATAAACATGTGAGCGTATTTTGATAAAACGACAACAGGATTACTTACAGAAATCCCTCTAAATCCGGTTCAATCCCCAACCCTCTCCTTAACCGACTCCTACCCGCAGGCGTGACTCTCGAGGGCGCGTACAAGGGCGTGGAGTTCTACCTGCTGCGCCCCAACATCTCCCGCCTGGGCGAGATCGAGGTCTGGAACGACGCCGCCACGCAGATCTTCTACTCGCTCGGCTCGTCCTTCGGAGGCCTCATCACCCTCGCCTCCTACAACAAGTTCAAGAATAATTGCATGAGGTAAGAGATGCTATAGATAGGTAGTTAGACAGAAGTGTGCGTGTGTGTGTCTGTCTGTCTGTCTGTCTCTGTATCATTGCTGATATGTTTTTGTTTCATATGGTGTATTAGGATTTTTCCACCCTATGTCATATTTGAGAATCAAATCATGATCCTTGAAACCACTTCTTTTCATAAATCGCGCACTCTTGCTTAATAAGCAAACGACTCACCCCCCCCCCTCCACCTCCCCCAGGGACGCCATCATCATCGCCTTCTCCAACTGCTCGACGTCCGTGTTCGCCGGCTTCGTCATCTTCAGCATCCTGGGCTTCCTGGCGACGGAGCTCGGCGTGGAGGTGCAGGACGTCGTGTCCTCGGGCTCCGGCCTGGCCTTCGTCGTGTACCCGGCCGCCGTGACGCGCATGCCCGTGTCGCCGCTCTGGGCCATCCTCTTCTTCGCGATGTTGATCACGCTCGGCCTCGACTCGCAGGTGAGTTGTCCTCTTCCTCGTCACCGTCCCCGTCGTCGCCGTCGCCGTCCTCGTCCTCGTCCTTGTCCTGTCCTTGTCCTTGTCCTTGTCCTTATCCTCCTCGTCCTCGTCCTCGTCTCGTCCTTGTCCTTGTCTTGTCCTTATCTCTCCTCGTCCTCGTCCTCGTCCTTGTCCTTGTCCTTATCCTCCTCGTCATCGTCCTTGTCCTTGTCCTTATCCTCCTCGTCCTCGTCCTCGTCCTTGTCCTTGTCCTCCTCCTCGTCCTCGTCCTCCTCCTCCTCCTCGTCCTCCTCCTCCGTCTCTCCTCCTCCTCTCCTCCTCCTCGTCCTCCTCCTCCTCCTCCTCCTCCTCCTCCTCCTCCTCCTCCTCCTCCTC